CAAGCAGTTTTTTCGGGGCAAAGTGCATAGAACTCGAATCGCGTGATAACAAAATTCAGGAAGCTAGTGATAAGGAATGATCGAAGCGCCTTACTAACACGCCACACTTTGCGAAGTTCTGGCACCATGGCAAAATGAGTAAAGAGATTAAAATGGAAAGATAAGTGCTGTGTGACCTGCCAATAGCAGGAGACTCAAGGTACGCTCTCGAGGATGCCCTGAATTAGACCCCCTGTGTGTATTCGCGTGATTGTACAACTTAGGACATACGAGCATGAGCGAGAGACGAGACCATGAAAGGATGAGAGAGCATAGGAATGGGAAGGATGACAAATACAATACATCGTCACGTTGGGTACCCCAGGAGGCCCGTCGCGCGGCAAGAAGGCAAAGTCAGCGGACGAGTCGCGCGCGTACTATAGGGATTTCGCGTCAAGTTAAATAGAGTGTCCCACTGCACGTCCTACATCGCACACCACGCGCTGCAACTCGTCCGCCGACTCTGCCTTCTTGCCGCGCGACGGGCCTCCTGGGGGTAACCCATCGTTTACCTAAGCAGAAGGAGATCTATACCCTTAGGCTACAAATTATTTTAGACTTTTTACTTTTATGTTATCGAGGTGTTTTGTGTAGTAGCTGTCGCTCCTAGCAACAACTGATCATCTATAGAAATTCGGCTGAAGCAGCCAGATTTTGACTCAAAGATTAGGCGCGCGTATCTGTTACCACACCAAACTCGCTCAAATAAGTACTTTCGAAATATAAATTGGACGTATCTCCCTATCCTTCCAGGTTGTCCTCCAGGTTAGCCTGATACAAACTCATGGAAATCGAAGCAATAAATCCTCTGCGCTCCGCCGGTTGTGACATGAAAGGAGTGCCAAAGATAATGGTATTGTGATTCTGTTGGGAATCGGACCCAGGATCGTGCAGCTGGTGCGGTAAGTTATAAATTAGAGCTGACAGGATAAAAGGATAAAGGAGGAAAGCATTTGCCGTTGATCAATCCCTTTTTGGGATGCGGCACGCATTCTACTTCCATTTGTACATTCGTAGTGGCGTTTGAATGCGATGTGGCCTATACAATGACTTGCGGGGGCCAGCCGATGTACAAGTCAGTGTTTTTATCCTCCCAGACAAGTCTGGTACCAATTAACCGACCCCGGAGGGATGGAAGGCTTGGTTGGCCCGGGCGACCATGGAGATGATAGATAAAAACATATCTTGAACTGCGAGATGATAAGAACTGCCAGAAGTGGGGGAGCAAACAATATGACTTCTAAGTTAGAGGGACGCGAATGGCCAGAGAGCATTTAGGTAACTCTCAAGTTCAAGTTATCTCGTTAGTAAAAGGGATGAGTAGAATAGTGCGCAAGCGTGACAAGCCCATAACAGGACTTGTGAAAAACGTAAGCAAAATTCCCCTGCCCCTCGTGAAGAGGAAGATAGAGGAACCCATGTCCTTTTGCTATCGTGTCGTCGAATAATACGTCAGTGTCATTATTGTAATGGTGTTGCAAGCGATTGAGCATTTCTTCACTGAGTAGCTTCTTTGTGGTCACCTAAATGGAGCTGCATAAACTACGAACAATGGTATATATTCTAGCCAGCCTCAAGTTTTCTAGTAATCGCCTTCCACAGGCCGAGAACGTTTTGATCATCGGATTGTGAATGGTTTGTGTTTCATGAATCAAAACTCTCCTCAGGCCTTTATTATGAGACGATAGAATGGTCAGATCAGCAGTCAATGCACGTAACATGAATAGGATGAGGCTTGGCTTGGCGTCATTGCAATTTTTTGCATCAGTTCTCAGCCCAGAAGCTCCATGTCTAGGAGGCCGTCGCGTCTTCTGCTACACAAGGTGATGTAAAATACACCCTTCGGTGATCTGTTTTTTCAATAGATTTATAATTTTCAGCACATTTTCATCGTTTACTACACCCATAGCTTACAAACACCATGTCTGAGTGAAAAAAAAATAATTTTGAAAAATTTCTCCTTTATTAGACTGCGTCAGATCATGAACTCAAGAACGGGAGTCGAGCACATAACCTCAAAAGAAGGTTCTCACGAGTTCATGTATTATCTCCATGCTACCCCTTATAAGAATCCAACCAACCATCTTTGTCTTTCGACTAATTCCTTCGTGCCAAGCCACGCCTACACCATCTAGAGGGGCCAAAAAAGTCACTCTTCACTTTGGGACGGAATTAATCACCTCTGCTCAGAATCAAATCAAACGCTCTCAACTGAAAATTGAAGAGCACCTGAGTTCCATTTTATCAGAAAAATTTTCATGAAACTTCCATCAGCAATTGCACCCTGTTGGCATTACATTGTTTGGCAAAAAGTTTGCTGATGTGAGACATGGGCAATATGACTTTCTTTGCCCCCCGCCCTTGAATTCGGGATTGAATAACCTTTTTGGTGGCTGATAAATTTGAAGGCATTTTCGAGATGCCAAACGATTTGCGAACTGCACATTACGGTAAGGCAAGAAGCTGTTTTCTGAAACAATCAAGCAAACTCTGGAAGGGATCAGGCCATCAGGAAGTCGTCTCGTGATGACTACAATTTGATTATCGAACACCCTATCAGTAGTTTTCAGAATTCAGTTTAAGTCTGAAAGCAGAATCAGATGGGTGGAGCCACCAAGCATTCTGGGAAGTTCCCTTCTTTTCGCTGACCATGAAAACCCTGGGCTGCTCTAGAATATAAATATTAAAGCCGTTCACATAGAACGGGTCCATTTCGCTATCAGATATGCCGAACTCACCCAAATACTATCTCCATTACCAATCTAGGAGGGCGGGTGTAGTGACAAGTGGCACGCTTACCACGCGAGCGGTCCGGGGATCAAATCCTGGGTCGTGAGTCGCCCGGGCCAACCAAGCCTTCCATCCCTCCGGGGTCGGTTAATTGGTACCAGACTTGTCTGGGAGGATAAAAACACTGACTTGTACATCGGCTGGCCCCCGCAAGTCATTGTATA